TGCTGCCCCCTCACGGGGTCCCAGTTCATGGTAGATAGAAGTGTTTTGTGTTTTCAACCGCACTAAGACTGACGTCTTTTCATTGGTCAGCCGGTTAGCGCGGTCGATGCTAATAATAAAAACACACACACCAACGGCTCAACGGCGCAGCAGCATACGCTGCGCCCTCTTCAGCGCTGCGTACCCTGACGGGCTCACATGAGCCTCTACGTGCAAGACTACATGACGGTAGACGTTGGTGGTGGCGAAGGCGAAGTTGGCGGTGACACCATTGCCTCCGGTAGCACCGCAGCTCCTGGATCCTCTGCAGAAGAAGGTAAGGGATAGTTTTGAAGTGAGCAGCACCGCCGTAGCGGTGGCCGTAAGGTGTGAGGCTGTGCACGAGACATGGCCTCGGAGCGTGGAGGTATCCTTGTTGTGTTGTTTTTTTTTCTGTGATATTTGTGCTGGAGTGCGCGTGAGGTCTCTCTCATTCTTAAAAATCCTTGTACATAGCCCACAGCAGCACGTCTTGTCCAAAATCTTCAGGAATAAATTTTTTCGCAATGGTACAGTAGTGGGCCCTATATAGTGCAGGGGTCTGTTGTGAGAATTTACCTGCACTATAGCAGGCACCTGCACTACTGAAAAGGGTGCCCTCGATAGTGCAGGTTCTGCACTATTGGGGCTTTGAATGTTCCTCAATAGTGCAGGTTCTGCACTATTGAGGCACTCTTCGACTTCACGTTGTGAGTGTGGCGTCCGCGCTTTGCGGGGCCAACAGAGTACGAAATGGATCGAGATTGTGAATAAATAGTGGACGAAGCTAACTCTCAGTCCTCGTTGCCCGCCTTCCCTCGATGTTGGTGATAGAAAAAGACTTGCGTGTATAAAAAACATACGACAGAAAGCCCACTGCAAAAACACGAGCAACCATGTACTGCTGGCCCCTGCCATCATTACGTGATGATCAAACTCTCATGTCTCCCTGGCGCACCTGGCTTCGATTTAGCAAGAACCAACACACACACAACCAGCCAGGCGCAACCTCACTCCGTCGTGCCAATTTATCTGACCCCTGCCGCACCGGCTGCTATGTTGCAAGAAAAAAAAACACAAGTAAAAAAGAGAGAAAAACATGCAGGAAGGTCACTGCAAAGAAAAATCAAGCAAGCATGCACCCCGCACCCTTGCTAACGTCGTGACAAACTCCCTTATGACTGCCCGGCGCACCCGCTGCGATGTTGCGGGAAAAAAAACAAAAAGAAACGAGAAAGGCGCACAGGAAGCTGACTGCAAGGAAAAAAAACAACCACGTACACCCGCCGCCTTCACTACGTCTCGACAAACTCTCTCATGTCTGCCTGGCGCACCCGCTCAGCGGCATGCGCTGCGATCATCGCCATTTTTGCTTTCTGCAGGTGGAACGCCGCGTCTCCATTGCCACTCTCATCTGCTGCCGATTCCAGGACGCCGAAGTGAGGTGACAGCTCACTATAAGCCGGTGGAGCACGGCGCTCNTAATACGCATGCGATGCATGAGTACTTTTTGCACGCTCGGGGTTTTCGGGTCGTCAAACGTGACAAGTGACTGCGCACACTGCTACTATCGAGGGCTGACATGTGATGTGTTGACATGTGATTGTGTCGTCGCCGCCGCCCCCCAGCTCATGACAAAAAAACAGGCAGAGAGTAGCGGAAAACGCAATAGATGGAACTGCGTGTGGATCACGTGCGTCCACTTCGGGCAGCCGAGAGAACTTGAACGTGTCGCGGACGAGAAGGCTCGCAAAAAAACCTCTTCGTCCAAGGTAATACCAATTGCCTGAATATTCGTGAATAGTTGATGAAGACACTCCTGCGCTTCACCTGCGCTTCACCTGCACTTCACTGTCCCTAATATGAAATGCTTGCGAGGGGCGGCAGCACCACCAGTGGCTTTCCGTTCGAGGGCGAGTGGTTGCGCTTGTTTCTTTCTCGCTGTGCAGTTGCCTGTGTACGCTGTGACGTCCAAGTTTTCATGCGTTGGTTCGATCCTTTCCTACACAAATCCTGTCGATCATTTCAGCCGGTACGGACGGCGAAATTGCCGTGATTTTTTTCCGTTTTTTGTTTTGATCTGTGGTCCCCAGTGCAGCGTATTGTAGGATTTTTCGCACGGCCCGGGCACGTTTCGCGCACTGCAATACGACCTTTTCATCCGGCAGTTTACTCTGTCGCGGGACGCATGGTGGAAGTCGTATTTGGTTGTGTTTCGCGGCGAGAAGAGCGCAGGAAAACAAGGCAAGGTAGGTGTCCAAATACGCGGCAGGCGCCTGTTGGTGTTTTAGTGATGTTTCATTTCGGCGAAGAAACGCCTGATCGGGAATTCGTCTTTTTGTGAACGTCGGGAAAAGCACCAAAGCACAACAACGGTCATCGTTTTCCACGCGGACAAACATGCTGTTTTCCCCATCGTCGTTACTCTCCCCCCCCGCCTCGTGCGAATCCTAGCTGGGCTGCAACTTCGAAACGGTGCTGTGGTGGTCGGCCAGCAGCCTTGCACCAGTCGTTGCACAGGTGAGCTCAGACGGAAGGAAATCGACTCGCGCCCATACGGTACCGTCGCGTTGATGTGCTATGTTCGTCTGGCGCAAGAGGCGACCGCAAGTAGGATTCCTCCTCGGGTTGTGTCAGGGGTGTGGGAGTAGGGCCGCGAGCTTTAGGTTTGTGTGTATCATGTGCGTTCTGTTGACATTCCGTACTCGTTCGCTTGTCTCCCGACGCCCCGTGGCGCAGGGAGGCATGTGCCTCACGCACCACACGCCGAGTTCAGGCGGAAAGGAGCACGCGCGCCCAAGAACTTTCGACAACGAGATGACTCGCGAGGGCATTGCGCAGATGTCCGGCTTCATTATCGACCTTGCTGATACAGGCATGAAGACGGCAGATCTCCACAAGACTGTTCAGCAGAAGAGCGGGAAGAGGCTGGGCGTCGAAGGGAAAGCGGTGGTGAGTATCCAGTTGGCCTAGACGGGACGTAGGGCGAGAAGAGGGCTGACGACAGAACTCCACGAACCGGCGGCTGCCCGTTGAAGTCCTCCTTGTTGCATCACGACGATGTCGGCATGATATCTTGAGCTTGCTTCCACCCGGATGTTGCCGTTGAAGTGCTCATATCAAATTCATGTCCCATCTTGGGTGGTGCATGCATGTCGACGGCAGGTGCGATCCATTGTTGACAGGCATGAAAAGGCCTCTCGTGAAGCCTTCAACGACGCCCAGAAGTTCCTTCAGCACCTGCAGCACAGCAAGGCGCACATGTGGTTCAAGGCTGACGAGCAGGCCCGAATCACGAGCATCGCTTGGGCGTCTGACGTGCAGAAGGCCACCGCGGTGAACTTCCACTCCGTCATCATAACGGACACGACATTCAACACGAACCGGTGAGTGGAGTGGGCATTCTGTATGGTCCAATCCGTAGCCGTCTATATACTATCCTCGGAGCGATACCGTTGGAGCCCAAGCGGTCGGATTTTGTTATTAACACATTGGCACCACGGTTGAGAGGTTGACGTAATTGGAGTGTGTGTGTATTGCATGAGTTGATTTCTGGTGATTAGTGTTCGGACATGTTGCAAGGAAATGACATTGATTGGTTGTAGGTCAGGTATTGTACGTTGTAGTTACGTGTTAATTCAAACGAGACTGATCGCAGATAAGTATGTGTTGCAAACTCGTGGCTTCTGGGGAAAACATGTTGTATTATGAGACCATGGCTCGAGAGACAGGGTAGCAGATGGAGTGGGCGTGGTGGGCGAGAGGGGCAAGCACCTCAGCACCACCAGCCATGTACCTCGGTCAACGCATAAAACCAGAACACAATTCTCAGAACAGCCAGCATACCCCCAACGAATACTCGGAGTAATGCACAGTCCACAGAAGAACATTCCTACAGTCTACCAAGAACGTTCTACTGTTCCTGATTGTGTGGCCGTTCAACGATCCAGTACGACACAGTCCCGTGATTCAAACCGTCCAATCAACGTTGATATTCTACGGCACTCTGTCTACACATACAGCACCTATCACGAACAGTATGCGTTGAACCTGGGGTGGGCGAATGTCGTGCAATAAGTCAACCCTAGGTTAGGTCAGGGTAACAAGACTTGGGGTAGGGTAATCGCAGGAGACGATACATGTTGACGCGTGATGGAATGGACTTGGAAATGATGGCTTTGGGAGCAGGGTTGGAGTTAGTTCTGGTTGAGATATCGCGAAATAAGGTAATGAAAAAGTGTATGAGTTGGAGACTAGAATTGAGGAGGTGTGGGTTTATGGTCGGAATGATGAGGTTAGGAGGGCATTGCAGTTATTGGAGAGAAAGTGAGAGAGAAGAGAGAGTTGGAGAGAAAGTGAAGCGGCGCAATAGGATAGATACAGAGGAAGTGGCGCAATTAGCTCACGTCAGCTGATGACGACCCCACTGGCACATGTACACACATGTCTACGTGCGATAGGCCATCGCCGGCCGATTACACGTCACCTTGTTGTGGGTCCTGGCGAGACTGTCAGGAGCGATCCTCAGAACGACGGGTTAACTAAAAATATATATATGTTTCCGTATTTCGGAAAAAAATTGAGTCCGAAACAACTGTCAACTTCTTAAATTTATTGTACTCCACTACGTCATCACCGCCCTGTTTGCTTGTCCATGCTCCTCGCGTCGGGCCCGAGGATTATGTTGACAGAATGTGTTGACATATTTGGGCCCAAGGAAAATGTTGAAAGAATGCTCTTGAACCAATTTTTTTGGCTCAAGTATTTTTTTTTATTACGTCACAGAAAGGCTACCCCGTTGACAGTCAATAGTTCGAGATGTGTCGCACTTGATACTTCTACCTTCTACCTTTGTTTTCTGTTGGCTCCATACGCTAAGTCAGGCCTGTTTACACCCAAAGCGAGGGCAGGAATCGTCACGTGTGCCATCGCGCATCGAGGTCACGGCTTTAAATCTTCTTGGTCCTGACGAATGCAGCGAGAGTGCTGGAGAGTTACAGCGTATAGATAGCTGGTTGTGGGAGGTGGGATTGTGTGGCGAATATAAATGGCCCTCATTTGTTCAACATCAGTACCTCGCGCGTCTGACTTTACGTGTACATAGACGCATGTTTCACCCATGGCTTTTACCCGTGTGTGCGTGGATGTGGTCGCGTCCCATCTGGCGCCAGCCTATAGTATGCCTTTTTTGTGTGTACATTATATAGGTCTACAGCTCAGTGCTCGTCGGAACGAAGCAAAACACACGTTACTTCAAGTACATATCTACATGCGAACGGGTACTGCGGAGGGATCAATGGGTGGTGGGTGTGCACATCGACCAAACGTGCTCCTGCATCCCTCCATAGCTCCTAATGTATACAAGTTTGGGTGGTTGGGAAGCCGCTGCTTCGTTCTGGTATTTCCTCGTCATTTCTTGGCCTCGAGTATTTCTATTCAGAACGGTCGACGGCCCCCTCTTCCAAGATCAGTATTTATGCATAAAGTAGTAGGCTGATAATTTCGAACATTTTTTTTCGCCCTCTTGGAGGGGACGGGGGGTGTTCTGCACGGGAAAATAATCCAGATCCATGCGACCTTCCTACTGTTCCTCGAGGAATAGGGCTCTTTCCGGCCGAAAGGCCAAAACGCCAACAGAGCAATAATATGTGCCAGGGTTGACATTTGTTTTCGGCTCGTGTGCAGCCAACACGACGCAGAACGCCCTGAATTTTACACACCCACAGAGGGTTTGTGCATGACCTCGTGATGTTAGCCTCTGTTTTGCCAGCAGACAGTGTAGTTCCTCGATCTGGCACGATCGGGGTGTGACCCCCCCCCATTTCCAAGCTGGAAAGGATCAGCCACTCAAGTTTCGAAATGGAACCATTTTCTAATTCAACAGCTGGAATACTAGGGACATATTCGGCCAGTAGGAATTTGGGCTCTAGGATTTTGTCATTTTCCCCCACTCCCCCCACCCTCCGGTGTTTACCATCGGGTTGTAAAACAAGCCGCCCCCCCCGGTGTTTGCCATCGGGGTTGGGTTTTCGTCGCTTGGCAACGACGTTGTAAAACAA